CTGTACTGCTGTAGTGATGCTGCTATTGATGGTTTGGGTTTAATTAAGATGAATGAACTACTGGCCGAAAGTAGACTTTTACTCCTGGTTGGAGGGACCAACCGGGAATAAAAGTTAACCTTTAGTCCCGGTTGGTAGCTTCACCTGGGACTAAAGGTCCCCCGGCCAGGAGTAGACTTTTACTCCCGGTTGGAGGGACCAACCGGGAGTAAAAGTTAACCTTTAGTCCCGGTTGGTAGCTCCAACCGGGACTAAAGGTCCCCTGCAGCAAAAGTCTGCCGCAGTAGCCGTTGGGCAGGGACCTTTAGTCCCGGTTGGAGCTACCAACCAGGACTAAAGGTTTCTCTAGTCCCGGGCGCGAAAAATACCGGGACTAAAGCCAAATTTTGAAATGGATCAAAAGTCGTTTCTCTACTAGTGTTATTAGCTAGTGCTCCCCCATCATTACCAAAAAAATGATCTTCTCAGTTTATCAATCTTATCAATGATGGTCTGGAGTAAGGGAAATATAGACATTTGATATATAGCAGAATTATTCAAACTGGATTTAATCAGAATGCCTCTCTAAATACCGTTGTTAGGGAACTACCATGCCATACATCTAATCTTTTAGCAGATTTCTTATAGACGTGTAGCCAGTCAATGATGTGGAGTCTGCTGGGACTTATAGGAACCCTTTGTGGGGAACAGACCTACATGACAATTAAACATCTCAGCATATGTGTTTACTTTTTACTATCATCATTAATCATCAGGACCTCACATTTAGAGAAGTTAATCTTCGGCCAGAAAGCATTACATATATATACAGCAAAAAAAATCATGTTTCTAGCCATGTCTATGTCATCTTTGATGCATAAAATTATCATCTGCATAGGCCAGCATAGCCGCACCCCATTGTCAACCAGGTTCCCAAACAGACCCTCAACAACGTCATTTTCCTAGGCATTCAACACCATTCTAGTCAAGACATCAACGACAAAATTGAAAAGGATTGGGGGATCGGAAAAGGGTCATCCTGTGTAACTCCTTTGTGGCAAGAAAAGTAGGGGCCAGTCTTATTATTAATCTTGACATAGATTGTGCCATTTTTCACCACTTGTTCAATCCACATGCACCATTTTGAGGAAAACCTCCTAAGCCTTAGAATTCCATACAACAGTTCCAATTGACCTTGTCATAAGCTTTGTCAAAGTCACAACTACAAAAACAGCATTGAAGACAGGTCTAAAACTATTTTCATTGATGGTTTTGCCCTTTGGCGGGTGAAAGTGGGCGATGATAACGAACTTCATCACCATCGGTTTTAAACCGGCAGTCGTTTCTCTCGCCGTTGCCTGCTAGATGCGCATCACCATCTCCTCTCTTGAGCCCATCCCCATCTACCCATCTCCTCGCTAGCCTGCCTCCTCCTCGGCCACCACCCGCCATCGCCGCTGACAGAACTAAGAGAGGGAGAGAACGAGAGGGAGATTGATAGAGGAGATGGAGCACACCTCCAAGCTAGGGGGATCACACGACGTGGCCCAAGCGCCGTGCTAGGGGTGCACACCGCACTGGGGCATTGCTGTCATTATAGATGGCCAAACAGGCTGCCTAGCTTGGCCCAGCACGGGCCCAGCCAAGGCAAGGCCCAATGGTGGTCGGGCCGGCATGGCATGGTTGGCGCATTGGGCCATGCGGTGCCCGCCCATGGGCGGCTGGTACGGCCTAAGAACAGCCCTAAAAGCCTTAGGCCTTGTCGGGCTGGCCCATCAGCCCGGTGAGCCCAGCGTGGTCGGACAGGCCCAACTACATTCATAGAACAGAAATCAAATGTAATTCATTATTTCACAGTTCAGACACAGAAAAAATTGAATCCAATCGCATGGCTTGGGAGCTCGCGCCACTGCCCACGCGAGGCCAGGGGCGCACGCTACCACCCACGCTAGGCTAGGGAGGGCCACACCGCCACTCACACTGGTGGAGTAGGTGGCATGAGGGTTGAGGATGTCATGGAGGCTGGCTAGGGTATTATATGTTGTGGGTTGAGATGTCAAGCCAATGGCTGGGCCAACCTTTTTGTCAAGCTAGGCTGGGCCAGCACGTTGGGCTGAGGTCATAGACTAGGCATGGACCTTCAAACTGGTCAGGCTGGCATTGGCCTGATGGCCATCGGGCCATGCCATGCTTGGGCTAGGCCAAAATCCCATGCCATGGGCTAGGCTACTGGGTTGTGGGCCTTTTGGTCAACTATAGCATGGGCCAATGCATGGGGGGGGGGCCACGCCTGCGCGCTGCACCTAGGCACCACAAGCAGGGGGTCGTGCACCATGTCAGGGCGCCATCACCACTGTGGGCCTATGTGTGAGGTCGCCACCACAAGTTTTCATCACCTTCACTTACAGTCTCCTAGTCATTTTTTTGATAGAAAATACTGTACATCCTCCTCGTCTTGGAAATACAATATACTGTTTTGTATCTTCCTCCCAAGTCCCATATGCAATTCTATTAAAAATCTCTCTTGAGAAGCCAAGTCTCACGGTATCTCTTATAATAAACCAATAAAGCTCTTCATCTTCAAGGATTTGTAGAAGCCCTGCCTGGGCCTCAGCCTTTCTCTTTAACTGATTATCATTAAGGTTACTGATCTCCTCCAGTTGCTCCAACTCTTCAAGTTCTACCTGAAGATATTTTCCCCCTTTTATTGTTACCTAGAGCATTATTGAAAACCCCAGCCTGTAAAGAATATCATGAAGGCTTTGAGTTTTAATTGGACCCTATCAAAAGCTGAATTAGCTCCAGCTTCAGCTTCTCTGAAACTGGCCAAACGCTCAAAATGCTAACTGATTTAGGTGGGGGTCAGGAGAGAATCACTTCTCCATTTACACTAGGAGTTGGGAGCTAAAAAAACTGCTTCACCCTACTCCCTGTTATATTCTGGTGAGGATCAACAGACAATCAATTCTCATCAGCTCCCCACCCTGCTCCCTCCTAGAAATTCAATGGAATCACTCCACATAGGGAGGGTAGCTATCCCAAACCAGGCCTTACACCTTTCGTTCTAGAATTTCTTAACATGCTCAAATGACTTATGGTGTTCTTGAGCCCAAAAGCTCAAATTTGAACTCATGGTTTCTCACTTGTTGCACTATCATAGTGTCAACAAAGAGAGAATTATGATCAAAGATCTCTCCAACAATTTTAGAGCCATCGCCATTAGGAATAATTCTTCCTGCTCTTTCCTCATTAGGACTCTATCCAATCACTATAAGATTGAGCATGGTTGGTTATTAGATCAGATTGAGCATGGTTGGTTATTAGATCCACATAAATTCCCCCCAAATGATTGGGATTTCTCTCAATTCATAAGCATGAATAACAGCTTTGAACAGATCAGACTTGTTATGGGCAAACCCCTTATTGTTTTCTCCAGCATATCTAATTACATAAAAGTCACATCCAATCAAAATGGGATCTTTACTGAAATGACATAATTCAGATAATACACTCAGGAAAAGATCTTTGTGCTTTTCATGAGCACCATACACAACAACTAAGCTTCATTTAGAAAATTAGTATTGCCCCCCCCCACCCCCACAACAGAATCCCACCAGACTTGTGTAAGTCAACTGAGTTAAGGAAGTGATCATCAAAGTCCTCATCCATTGTTTCTTGAATTCCCACAAAATGGAAATTACTTTGAATAAAGCCTTTAACATAGGTAGCAACACTATATTGTTTTTATGCTCCTACAATTCTAGAAAAGGACTTCTTATAGTGATTGGATCTTTTGGTGAGAAATGCTTGGGAATAATTCTTATTTCTTCTACCCTTGCACCTGATAGGAGCTTCCTAAACAAAATGACAAGGTGTCACAAAAAGATATTCCTGCTCCTTATTTGAAGGAGAAAATTTTAGATCTTCCTTTCCATATTTTACAGTTTTTATCTTGGATAATTGATGACAGGAGCCTAGGTCGTTCCTTTTTCCTTTTATAGAAAAAACTCTAGTTAACTCTTCTGAATCAAAAGGTTCAGAATCCACCCAGCCCAGAATGATGCTAGAAGAATTATTCTAAATTAAGATTATCTACCAGAACAGGGTGCTTATTTTTATTTTCAAGCATTTCGTTTTTTTTACATGCTAAGTTATTATGCCTGGCACATTCTAGTCAGCAATGATGTCAAAAGGGGCAAAGTTTTGGTCTATATATACCAATTCCCATTTTTGAAACATTATCAATAGGATTTCATCATTAAGAACTGAAATCGATTATGATTAGTAAGGCAAGTACCTTCCAAGTTTCTTTACTCCCACAGTTTGTGCATGAAACAATTTTTTTTGTTGGGCACATAATTTAAATAGTGTATGGAACACAAAGGTAGTACTTGATAAATTTACTTTGGAAGATTGATTTGCTATTTCTGGTGATATCGAACTAGAACTCATATATTGCATGTGCTATCTAGTAGCATCTATTGAACTTCCCTATCCCTTCATTCTGTGCTGCAGGGACTGGAAAGCTATCGTTGATGATTGGATTGCTGCAACAAAAGCTACAATGGATAGCGATTCAAGTGAGTGTTAATGTGGTATATCTTAGTACTTGTCTACTTGATCATTTCCTTCTTCAGCCATCAGCATATTAGCTAAATGAAATTAATATGTAGATAAACATATGGATATATCGAATACAATTACCGCAGAAGATGAAGGAGGACTTGCTACTCCACCTATGGGCATTGGAGCACTCTATCTTGTGAGCCATGCAACTGAAATCCAAAATGTCTCTGAGGTGCACATATATATATATATATATATATATATATATATATATATATATATATATATATATATATATATATATATATATATATATATATATATACATCATTTTGCTTTTTTGCTTTGCTTTAAATGAGTGGTGCAAGCACATTATTTCTTTGCTCTATTAGTCGACCTACACTTGACACCAATCTAACATTTCTAAATTTGATGTGCTTATTCCTTTGACTGTCATGGCAAAAATAAAGTTCCTTCACGGCATGGACGACAAGAGGATAAGTAAGTATAATATATGACTCTTGCTTTCCACTAATTACCTTTTACGAAGTATTTGGTGGCTTTTAACCAAAAATGACAATACACTATTGTAGTAACCAACTTGAGCATGGACAAAGGTGGGAGCTGTTGTCTGAGCAACAATAGATTTGATGGTTTCAAGCCCTCAAACAGTACTACGCCATGGAGCAAAGATCCAATTATAGTACAAGCACTACCAGCGATTCAAGGGCCACCATTTGATAATGGGAATCCACAGGAGCTACCAGCAAGAAAAAGGAGGCCATCGAGGAACACAAGCCCGCTAGTAACATACAAGAAAACACAGGAAGAAGGATCACAAGTCCCTCTCGTGCGCATCAAAGTTAAGCACTCTAGTACTGAATGTGCACCAAGGGGACTTGTTGAAAAGACTCTTGTTGAGAAGAAACCCTATCAAGAGAATGAAGGTACAGTTACAAGAATTTCTCCGATTATTGCTGCGAGGGAGCTGCCGCCAGGCCAAGTCCTTGTAAGTTATACTTCTTTGCTATTGATACATATACAAGTTGTTATATGATATTTAATTATTTAGTTGAACCTTCACTGATTTACTGTATGGTTACTTTGGCTCAAGAAAAAGGGGATGCCAACCCAATCATCGGCTGGACCAAAGGTAGGGACATGGAAGAGGAACGTTCAATTAACTGAAATAAATATAGATGAGACGAAGCGCAAGCTACGTGGAGCTTACCAGGAAGCAGAAAAGTGTGAGTCCCTTTTTAGTTATAACCATCCTTTTTATTTTCTGTGGAAATGGCATTATTTAGTTAGCCCCTAACCACAATATATTGTTGTTCTTTGTTTTAGCGAAACAGAGACGTGCAATCCAAGTTGTGGAGTTGTCTGACATTTCAAAATCAAGAGAGAACCACGTAGTTAGCAGGGCCCCTTCGACCGAGTCAATGAATCTCACCAACAGGACCTACATGACGAATCGAAGTCAGATAATCAAGAGTTGGGAAAATGATCAATGCAAATGATTATTGTACTGTTAGTATTTAAATCTCCAATCTAGATTATCAGCTTTTTGGTGGTCCATGTAAATGATGACTGTACTGTTAGTATTTATATCTCCAATCTAGACTAACAGCGAGATTTTTGGTTATATGTCATTTCAGTTGCGTGTAATCCTGCTCAGGTAATGAGTATATAAATTCATCTGAAATGCAGATTGGGGGAAACTGGTGAATAAATGTTTTTTTTGTTTCCCTGACTCAAAAGTAATATCGCGGAAACTATGTAATAATGTAAACGTTGTGTGCAAGATGCAGAAGCAGGAAGTTTCTTCTATTTCCAAAAAAAATAGCACTCAGTTTTCTATCCCAAAGGCCAAGAAGAATCATAAAGTTTCATTTTTCAACATCTAGAAAATCAGTCCCCCCCCTCCAACACACACACGCGCATGCGCGCGCACACGCACACACGCACCCCAGAATCCCACCATATTTTCCTTTGGATTGTATCCATTGTCACAGAAAGGACAATGTAAATTGAGTAAAGTAAGTAGTCATCGAAGTCCTCAACAGTTCTTGCAAGTTCACTTGTCTCAAGCCGAGTTTCAGAATGCCTAAGGTCGCCCCCCGGCTCGGGCGGCGGAAACCCTAGTCGCCTCAGCAGTCCAGCACCTCCCTTCCCTTTCCCTCACCGCTACCAGAGGCACCTACTAGGGGGCCCGCGTAGCTCCCTAGGATGGCGACGGTGAGGCTCTCCCGTCTAGGTTAGTCATGAGTGCAACCGTGCCACAGGGTGCCGACGGCGGTGACGCCAGGCAATGGTTTCCGGCGCCGCTCAGGCTGGATCCGGCCCGCCCGTGGCATGATCTGGTGCCTCCACGGACGCGCTCTCGCCCTCCCCCACCGAGTCGCATACCCCGCCTCCTATGCCTCCCTTTTCCTCTTCCTCTTTGTCTACATCTCCTTGGATCCATTGGTAGGGTGAGTCGGGGACCTCCGGTCATGGATCCGGTGGCTGCCCGCGTTGTGGCCATGTCGGGCGATGCGTCCGGCCGACTACTAGCAGGGCCATGGCCGGAGCGCCAACCATCACACGGCGATGGTGGACGGCCTCCCCAGCCAGCTAGTGGACAGGGTTGTGGCCGGGCACCACTGGCGGCCAGGGAAGGGGCGGCAATGGCCTCACGACACAGAGGCATGGACAGCGTGCGGCAGCGGATGGTGGCTAGGCTGCCGACTGGTGACCATGGCGGCCACCTTCTCTGGCGTCGATCCGGTGACTTGGTGCTGCGGCTCCTGCCTAAAGCTGGTGGAGCTAGATCCAACCCCTCCGGTCTCGATCATGTGCTTCCCCGGCTGTTCACATGTTGTCGCCGGCGGATCTGCGTGGGGGCGTCAGATTTGGGCGTGATGCATCCAGCTTGAGGGCGGGCTTCGGTGGTCTGTGAGCATGGTGATGTATGGCTGCGGCGGCCGGTGGGAACGTGTCCCCGGCCGCATGGGTGAGGCCGCACGTGGCTACAGCGGTGTGATGATGCTCGGGCGCAAGAGTGGGGCTACCATCCAGGCACGAGACGCTGTGTCTGTACGCACCTCCCACCATCGTGGGTGAGTCTGGGAATGGCTCCATGAGGTGTGGAGGTGATAGGAACCCCATCCATCTAGGTGTGGACGCCTGCCGGTGCGCGCCTCTCACCGTTGCAGGCAAGTCCGACAACGCTCCACGTGTTGTGGCAGCGACCAACACCCACCCTCCGTCTAGGCGCGGATGCTTGCCAGTGCGCACTTCCCACCGTTGCGGGCGAGTTCGGGAATGGCTCCGCGAGGTGTGGTGGCAACCGTTACCGTCCCCTATCTAGGCACGGGCGCCTGCCGATGCGTGCCTCCCACCATCGTGGCCGAGTCCGACAATGGCTCCGCGCGGTGTGGCGGCGACTGGCACCCCCCTCCGTCCAGGCACGGACGCATGCCGGTGCATACCTCCCACCGTCGTAGGCGAGTCTAGGAATGACTCCGCGAGGTGTGGCGGCGGCTGGCACCCACCCCTCTGTCCTGACGCGGACGACTATAGGTGTGTGCCTCCCACGGTCAAGGGCGACTCCGATAATGGCTCCATGCGGTGTGGCGGCGTCCCCCCCCGTCTAGGCACGGATGCTTCTTGGTGCGCACCTCCCACCGTCGCGAATGAGTCTGGGAATGCCGGAACGGCTTTGCGAGGTGTGGCGGTAGCCGGCACCCCCTCCGTTCAGGCTCAGACGCTTGCAGGTGCACACCCCCCACCGTCGCGGGCGAGTCTGACAACGGCTCCGCATGGGTGTGGCGGCACCCGGCACCCCCCTCCGTCCAGGCACGGATGCTCGCCGGTGCGTGCCTCCCTCCGATGCGGGTGGGTGATGTGGGTCAACGGGAGCACTGGCTCAGATCAGTCTGGGCCAGTGATGGGACATCCTTCTTAAAGGTGTCACTAAAGAACCTCTTGCTGCTGCTTCTCCAGGGTCGGCTATTCAACCTCTCGCCATAAGGCGCAAGCAAAAGCCTTGCCAAGCTCCTGCAGAGTCACCTCTTTGCTTGACTGACGATGGTTACGTTACGGCGTCATCCACCTCCCTAGAGACATCTTCGAAGAGTTCCTGTGTCTTGGTGTTGTAGTTTTTTTTCTTTTCCTCTCTTTTTGGTGTATTTGTGGATATGCCATAATCCAGCCCTTGTGTTGGCGCTGTTGTATTGGTTTTTAGTCCGATTTTCTAAAATTAACCGGACGACAAGGTTTTTACTCCGCTCCCTAAAAACAAGACTGGTAATGATAAATCAATACTATCCAGGCGGGGAATCTCTCCCCTGTGTAGTTTGCTTTAAAAATCGAAGTCCTCAACCATTGTTTCTTGATTCCCACAAAATGAAAATTATTTTTCAGAGTAAGGTCTTTAAGTTGGGTAAACACCAGAAATTATTTATGCTCCCACAATTCTAGAAAAGGACTTTCATCAATTGATGTTCTACTTGTTTCTTTTTCCATTGCACCTCATAGGAGTTTCCTGACCAAAATGACAAGGTATCACAGCAAGATCTTCCTGCTCCTTATTTGAACGACAAAAACTTAGATTTGCCTTTTGTTTTAAATATTTTATCTTTGATAATTGAGCACAAAGGCCTAGATCTCTCTCGCTTTTTTCTCCTTTTTTCTAGAAAAAACTCTAGTTAACCCCTTTGAATCTGAAGATTCTAGAATCCATCCAGCCCAAAATGATAGCAGAAGAAGTATTCTCAAGATTATCTACCTGAACAGGGTGCTTTTGTTATTTTCAAGCATTTCATTTTTAGATGCTATATCATGCCTGGCACATTCTAAGTCAGAAAAGATGTCAAAAGGGGCAAAGTTTGTGTCTAACCAATTCCCATTTCTAAACATTCGCGGTAAGGATTTCAACACTAATACTGAAAATGAATTCGTATTAGTAAGGCAAGTACCATCCAATAAGTTTCTTTTCTACCCAATAGAGCTTTATTTATTACTCCCCCAGTTTGTGCAAGAAACAAGTTTTTGTTGGGTACATGATTTAAATAGTGTATGGAACATAGAGGCAGTACTTTATAAATTTACTTTAGGGGATTGATTTGCTACTTCTGATGATATAGAACTATAGACCCTATATATTGCATGTGATATCTAGTACCGTCTATTGAACTTCCCGATCCCTTTGTTTTGTGTATGCTGCAGGGATTGGAAAGCTGTCGCTGATGATTAGATTTCTGCTATAAAAGCTACAATGGATAGTGATTCAAATGAGTGTTAATGTAGTATATATATCTTAGTACTTGTCTACTTGACCAGTGGCGCAAACACATTATTTCTTTGCTCCATTAATCGACCAACACTTGAACACCAATCTAACCTTTATAAATTTGATGTACTTAATTATTTTTCTGATTGTCCTGGCACAATAATGTTTCTTCATGGTATCTTCCCAAAAAAAAGTTCCTTCACAGCATGGACGACGGTATTTGGTGGCTTTTAACCGAAAATGATAATGCACACTATTGTAGTAACCAACTTGAACATGGACAAAGGTGGCCATTGTCTAAGCAGCAGTAGATTTGATGCTGGTTTCACTTTCAAGCCCTCAAACAGTACTGCGCCGTGGAGCAAATATCCAATAATGATAGTGAAATCATTACCAGTGCATGATTCAAGGGCCACCATTTGATCGATAATCGGAATCCACAGGAGATACCAACAACAAAAAGGAGGCCATCGAGGAACACATAACATACAATAAAACATAGGAAATCAAAATTAAGCACTCTAGTACTCAATGTGCACCAAGGGGGCTTTTTAAAAGACTCTTGATGAGAAGAAATCCTACGAGGAGAATCAAGGTACAGTTACAAGAATTTCTCCTGTTATTGCTGCGGGGGAGCTGTCGCCAGAATTTCTCATGTTATTGCTGCAGGGGAGCTACCGCCAAATTAAGTCCTTATGAGTTTATATATGCTACTGAGATGTATACAAGCTGTTATTTAGTCGAAGCTTCACAAGTCGCACGGAACACACGCGCGTACTGTCATGGGGGATCAAATTGAACTCATGATCTTAGGCGTTGTGCGTTGCTTCCTTATCACTGTGACTCAAAGTCACTTGTGACCAAGTGGCTGATACATTTCTTATTCACTTCAGTCAATACTGTAATCGGTATTTGAGACCCTAAACGAATTCAACTGAAAAAGGTTTGAACAAAAAATAGTTTTAGATCTTTTTTGAGTACCATATGAGGTCAATTTTAAAAATTCAAAAAAAATTCAAAATCATTAATTTCAAAACAGAATTTCTTGGGCCTAAGTTATTTCAAATGAAAAGATCATCAACTATAAACTTGTATATCCCTTTAAGGACTACAACTTTTTTTAGGTTCACTACTGGAAAGCGAAAATTCTTTGATGGTGCAATTACCGTCGGGGAAATAGAAAATACCGTCACGAAAATTTAAATTCAATTTCCTTGATGGTACACCGTCAGGGCTAGCTCGATA